AGAAATTAATCTTGACATATTTTTTAAAGGAAACTGAAATAAATTACATGTAATACATGTAATTTTATCTTACATGTCACCTTTCTTGGAGATCAAGGGTATACAAATTAGAAAGGAAGAAGTCAAATTATCACTATTTGAAGATGATATGAAAGTATACATGAGTGACCCCAAAAATTCTACCAGAGAACTCCTTCAGCTGATAAACGCCTTCAGCAAAGTGGCTGGATACAAAATAAACTAAAAAAAAAAAATCAGTAGCCCTCCTGTATACAAAAGACATAAGGGCTGAGAAAGAAATTAGGAAAACTACACCCTTCACAATAGCCACCAATAACATAAGGTACCTTGGGGTGATTTTAACCAAGCAAGTGAAATACCTGTTTGAAAAAAAAACAAAACAAAACAAAAAAAAAAAACTTCAAGTCTCTGAAGAAAGAAATTTAAGAAGATATCACAAGATGGAAAGATCGTCTGTGCTCATGGATCGGTAGGATTAACATAGTGAAAATGTCCATCCTGCCAAAAGCAATCTACAGATTCAAAGAAATACACATCAAATTACCAACACAATTCTTTACAGACCTTGAAAGAAAAAATTCTCAACTTCATATGGAGAAACAAAAAACCCCCAGAATTTCCAAAATGAGCCTGTACAACAACAGATCATCTGGAGGTATCTCCATCCCTGATCTCAAATTGTACTACAGAGCAATAGTAACAAAAACTTCATGGTATTGGCATAGAAGCAGAAAAGTAGATCAATGGAACCGAATAGAAAATCCAGAAATAACCCCAAACACCTTTGAATATTTGATTTTCAACAAAGAAGCCAAAACCATTCAATGGAAAAAAAGACAGCATCTTCAACAAATGGTGCTGGTCCAACTGGATGTCTACATGCAGAAAAATGAAAATAGACCCATATTTATCACCCTGCACAAAACTAAAGTTCAAGTGGATCAAAGACCTCAACATAAAACCAGATACACTAAATCAGTTAGCAGAAAAAGGGGGGAAGACCTTGGAACTCATTGGCACAGGAGACTACTTCCTGAATAGAACACCAACAGCACAGGCTCTAAGAGCAACAATTGATAAATGAGACCTCATGAAACTGAAAAGCTTCTAGAAAGCAAAAGACATTGTCATCAGAACAAAATGACAGCCTAAAGACTGGGAAAGGATCTTCACCAACCCTTTATCTGACAGAGGGCTGATATCCAGAATATATAAAGAGCTACAAAAATTAAAAAGAAATAAACCAAGCAATCCAATTTTAAAAAAATGGGGTATGGAGCTAAACAGAGAATTCTCTGTAGAGGACCACAGAATGGCAGAGAAACACCTAAAGAGATGCTCAGTGTCCTTAGCCATCAGAGAGATGCAAATCAAAATGACCCTGAGATTACACCTTACACCCATAAGAATGGCAAAGGTTAAAAACTCAAGTGATAACACATGCTGGAGAGGTTGTGGAGAAAGGGGATCCCTCCTCCATTGCTGGTGGGAATGTAAACTTGTACAACCACTTTGGAAATCAATCTGGCGCTTTCTCAGACAACCAGGAATAGCGCTTCCTCAAGATCCAGCTATACGACTCCTAGACATATATCCAAAAGATGCTCAAATACACAACAAGGACATTTGCTCAACCATGTTTGTAACAGCTTTATTTGTAATAGCCAGAACCTGGAAACAACCCAGATGTCCCTCAACAGAGGAATGGATACAGAAATTGTGGTACTTTTACACAATGGAATACTACTGAACAATTAAAAAAAAAAGTAAATCATGAAATTTTCAGGCAAATGGTGGGATCTAGAAAAGATCATCCTGAGTAAGGTATCCCAGGAGCAGAAAGACACACTTGGTATATACTCATTCATATAGTCCTATAAGATAAGTTAAATATACTAAAATATGTGCACCTAAAGAAGATAAACAAGAAAGAGGACCCAGGGTAAGATGATCAATCCTCACTTAGAAACACAAATGGGATGGACATGGAAAGTAGGAGAAAACAAGAAACAGGACAGAAGCCTACCACAGAGGGCCTCTGAAAGACTCTACCTAGCAGTTTATCAAAGCAGATGCTGAGACCCATAACTAAACCTTCGGTAGAGTTCAGGGAATCATATGAAAGATGGAGTTAGTGAGACCTGGAAAGGACAGAAGCTCCACAAGTACCCAATATATCAGGGCACGGGGGTCCTCTATGAGACTGTTTCTCCAACCAAGAACCATGTATAGATATAACCTAGAAACCCTGCTCGGATATAGCCCATGGTAGCTCAGTATCCAAGTGAGTTTCTCTAGTAAGGGGAACATGAACTATTTCTGACATGAACTCAATGACTGGCTCCTTTACCTCCCCCTGCGCCCCCCCCCCATCCCCGAGGGAGGAGCAGCCTTGCTAGGCCACAGATGAGGACATTGCAGCTAGTCCTGAAGATACCTGATAAGCTAGGGTCAGACGGAAGGGGAGGAGAACCTTCCCTAGCAGTGAACTTGGAAAGGGACAGGGAGGAGATGAGGGATGGAGGGTGGGATTGGGAGGGAATGACGGAGGGGGCTATGGCTGGTATACAAAGTTAATAACCTGTGATTAATATCAAAAAAATAAAAAAAATAATGTCTACACAACATACTTATTAAGGTCAAAGCATGGAAAACATAAGCATATTTAATAAAATGTAACATTATATAAAATATTATGATTGAATATTTTTGAAAAAGACCAGAATGGAGGCTGCTGTTCTGGGTGGGAGAGATGGCTCAGTGGGTAAAAGCAGTTGTGCAAACCTGGCAACCTGAGTTTAATTCCTGGAACTCATGTAAAGGTGGAAAGAGAACCAAATCCACAAAGTCTTCTTCTGACTCCCACACAAGCACTATGGCAAGCACATCTATATCCACATAAGGATAAGTAAAATAGACTTTTGGTGTGGCTGCTGGAGATCAGGTTCCCATGCTTATGGAGAAAGCACTTTACCCACCAAGCCATTGCCCCATCCTGTCTAGGGTAATCACCATGTCATATGACACCACATCTATCCTTAAAGGGTTTGGCTTGACAACATAAGGCTCACATATAAACTGTTTTTTATTTTTTTTTATTGTTGGATTATTTCAAAGAACTTTGAGATTAGGTATGCCTTTTATTTCTGTTGTAAAGAGTCAATGTCAAAAGAACTCCCATCATCTGGGACTGCTGAAAGTTAATGCTGTTCAGAAAGACACAGGCAGCCTTGTACAGTAAAAAAAAAAAATGATTAGAAGGTATCCTTTTTGTGTTTGTAATTTTTGGGCTGGTCAAGAATTATCTTCTTATCTTCCCCAGGTACACGTCATAATGATTGCTAAAATGTGCTACTTAAAAATTGCTGCCTAATTTCAACGATTTTTAAAATTTAGTCTCTGATGTTGGTATCAGCAACATTTGCAAAGATGGAAGACACAGCATTGGGCACATGAGTGGGCAGAGACAAAGAATACAGCATGCACGACAGGAGACTTTTATCTTTAGATTTTCACAAGATGTGTCAGGATGACCCAATGATCTGATGGAAGAAGTTGGGAGGGCAAAGTTGTCTGTTTAATTTTTTTCTTTGTACATATTACAGGTATGTGCAAGTCTGTCTCTATATAACTTTTACTTTGTGGTGTATTTAAGCCGTTCTGTAAGTGTGTAAGATTTTAAAGAAAACTAAACCCCTATGAATGAAGGAGGGTAAAGAATGGTAAACTTTTGCCCGTTGATGGAAGTAAAGCTTTGCGTTCCAGTTAAACACTACTGATCATCTGGGAAGCTGTTTACTCACACTTTTATTATGTTTTCCAATTTAGCTGTACAGTTGTAAGTCATGACATAATAAAGCGTTCAAGGAATTGTTTAAGCTACTGTCTCATGCTTTTGTGAGGGTTGGTTCTTTTCATATGTGAATACATGTACGTATTGTGAGAGTACATGTGTGTGGAGGTGTGTATGTCTATGTTAGCACATATATGTTCAGGATAAAGATTGATATTCGGCATTTTTCTTGATCACTCTCTACCATAAACACTGATGCATAATCTCTCACTGAGCCTGAACCTCAATATTTCTCTGCTAAGCTTTCCACCTCGTTTGCTCCAGAGAATTCCTGTCTCAGCCTTCTGCATTGGGATTAGGGATGGCCCACAAAGCAGCCCACCTGGCTTTTACTGGATCTGGGGATCTGAGCTCCCATTCTTATACTTGTGTGGCAAGCACTTTATCTTCTGAGCTTTCTCTTCAGACCCACTGATTGGTCTCATTTGTCAACTTGATGTAATTATGATCAGCTTTTGGGTACGTCTGGGAAGTTATTTCCAGAGTTGACTCACTGAGGGGGGAAGACTTGCTGTCAAAGTGGATGGCAAAAAAGGGTGGTCCAGATACAATGATGTCCACCAGTGTTGCCTGGCTGCATTCTCTGCCTTCTCAGTGACTATATCTATCACTCTTCCCCTCCCCCCACTGACACTGGCCTCTAGCTTTTTCAACCTTACCATGTGGACCCAATACAGGAGGCTCTACAGGAATCTTCAGGCCTCCAGGAGTAGACTGGGACTTCAGAGGCTTTCAGCTTTGTGGACTGATTACATACTGGCTTCTCCTGCATCTCTATCATACGGATGGCCATTGCTGGACTACCCAGGCCCTATCACAAAAGCCATTCTACTATATCCCCTTTCATTATGTATAACATTTACATGTCTCTCTCTCTCTCTCTTTTTTTTTAGTTCTATTTTTCTAGTGAACCCTGCCTAACAAATATACCTTAGCCACCCATATTTTTCTGGCCATACTTGTCCTCCTCCTTCCAGAGGGCACTTATAAGGTTGTCATGTTTATACAATCTATTTAGACATTTTTTTTTTTTTACTCACTGCATGCTATATTGGTTTTATTAACATGTATCATGTAGTATTGAGTCTGTCATGCAGAGAAAAGGCTTTCTTCTGAGCCTACTCACCTAGACTGTCATCCTCGCTGTCTTCCCAGGGTTCCTCATTTGCCAACAGAGGGTTCTGTGACTCGTTCATTGACCTCATAGGGAAGGAGTGTCCATCACCAGGGCTGGTGGGAAAGAAAAGTAGTGAGTTTGCAACTGAAGCAAACTCTTTTTTTTTTTTTTTTTTTATTCATATTTAATCACACACAGGAGGGATTGAGGGAAGGAGGAAGAAAAATGGAGGGGAAGGAGAGAGTACGGGTTAAAGGGAGAGAGATAAATATATAAAGAGAATGTGTATATATGTGTGTATTTGTATGGGTGCATATGTAGAAGACAACTTATTGGACTTGGTTCTCTCTTTTCACTGTGTGGAATTGAAGTTGTTGGGTTTGGTGGCAAGCACCTTTATACCACTGAACCATCTCACCAGCTCAGACAGGGTCTTCTTTTGTGGTTCAGGCTGGCCTGGAAGTTTCAATATCCTGTCTCAGTATCTGGAGTGCTGGGATATAGGTGTGTGCTATCATGTGTATCTAATAAACTTTTGAGATGGTAATAATCTTAGAAATGAGATATAATCATGGCTTTGCAGTTGTGTTGTTTTGAGGATTCTCTTGTCAAATATGCTATGTCTGAACTATATCCCACAAGACTTGGGGAGTCGTGGTTCTTTTGTCTAAATCCATGGTCAAATAAGCTCTTATTATCACTTAAGCATTGTCATCAACTTGCTGAATTGCTCTCAATTTCCGTGTTTTGTTTGTGTGTATCAATGTTGACTACTTTTGTAAAACATTCTTTAACTTGTTTTCTATAATGCCAACTATAGCAATATACAATGCTGTTTCATAAATACCATTTAACTATGATAGTCCCAATTATATCTCATTATCATATTGTTTTGATTCTAAATTTTCTAGGGAGATGAGAAGACTCACAGTCACTAAATATAATGGGGAAAAAGCTGTACCTTGTTATTTACTTGCCTTGTAACGCAGAAATGAGAAAGAGAAATGGTAGGGTACCTATCTCTATAGTGTAGAGTCTAGGGACGATTTATGTACATGTTAGTCCACTTTGTGGATTTCTGTGCTAATCTAGAGTATTGCCCTAATTAATTTCTGGCTATTTGGAAATAGGAGGCCATGGTAGAAATCATGGTGGTTGTAGCCAGATACTATTTGAGTTGCAGCAATTAAGTCTACATAGCTGAGTGTACTGCCAGTTTAACTCTGAATGACTTTTAGATTATTTGATACCATACGTACTTTTCCTCCTGGGTTTGAATGGTGTCAAGAAGTTTACATATTTTATTTACATTGCTCTACAGAAAATGTCAGAATACTGATTATATAAGTGAATAGGCTTTGATTTCTGTTTTTGTTTTTATGCTACAGTAATGTGGTAATGAAGTTTGAGTATTTGTGTGTCTCAGTATGTGATCAAAGTGCACACAGCAAATTCCTGCTAACAGTTATTAATAAATATTACTCATTGACAAATTTTGTCTTGGTATTTATAGCTAGAAGAGTTGATTATACCACACTTCAAACAAACAACCCTGTAAAACATTATCTGGCATACAGGAACTACTGATGCAGCAAGGGAACAGAGGGGAAAATTTAACCTTCATTATTACCTGATTCCAGCAAACATTTTTCCCCAACAAGAGAACAAGAATATATTGGTATTTGAGCAGAGAACTTAAAAGGGTACAAAAAGGTCTGAGACATGCTCTGTTCTAGAACTCCTGCAGTTTCGGGTGATCTCATTTGGCTCACAAAGTCACTTAGAAGACTCTACAAGAATTGTGGGATTTTTCTTTTTTGAGACATAGTCTCACTAAGTAGCTCTGGTGTCCCAGAACTCACCATATAGACCAGGCTGGCTTTAAACTCAGATCCATCTTTCTCTGCCTCCCAAATGCTGGGATTAAAGGCATGTACCATCACACCTGTCTTAATTTTTATTCAGTTGAACTCTTTTTACACTCCTAAAAATAACCTACAATCTCTAAATAAATCTCTATTTGTACTTGCTTTGAAATATTATCTTTATAACATTAGGAATTAACTCCAAATATGAACAAGGGAGAAAAGAAAAATAATTTCTAAGCATATTGCTCAAAGTATATTTCGGCACTTTTGGAACATATTTTCCTTTGCTTATTGTGTGCGTGTGTCAGTGTATTTTTTTATATACAACTTTGGGTTTTACATTTTCTTTTAAAAATAATAAGAATTTCCCCCTCTGACACAATCTTTGTATATAATATTCTACTTATCCATTCCCATAGTATTGCATACTTAGATTGTTTTGGAATTGTTGGTTATAAATTATGAGTGATGAATATATTTGAAGCTTATTACTATCATCATCATCATCATCATCATCATCATCACCGTAAGGAGCAGAGAAAGCCCTGAGTGAAAGTGCATTGTTGACTTGGGCATGGCCATGTCAAGACTCTGAGACCTCAGACCTGTGGGAAATTGGCAAAGTCATTACCTAGATGGAGCAGGCTCAAGAGGCCTAACAAAGCTTTACTCAGGACTCCAAGTATGAGTGTTTATGAACAATTGATCAGTGGGCGCAAAGACCAGCAACTGCAGCTCCCTCTTCTCAGATGTTTATAACCTAAGACTGCTCACCTACCGCGACTAGCAAACCTTTTGCCCTGTGCTGTACATAAGAAACATGCTGAGGTTCTAGGTAGAGGGGAAAAAGAATCCCGCTTGATTTCAGCATTTGCTGTATGGGGTTTGTGTATCTGTTCTGTCTTCATTCCCTAGTCAGACTTCTAGGATCTAAGTTACTCTGATAGAAACACAGCACAATATGATACAGCTTTTCCTCAAACTCACTCTGTAACAAAAAGCTGATGTCAAATTCACTATTCTCTTTCTTCAGGCTTCCAAATGTTGGAATCACAGGTATGAACAAAGATGTCTAGACTGTGAAGAGCATTTTTGTGTGTTGTTTATGCTCCATAATTAGGGTATATTCTAAGAAACATAAGCAGTGGTATAAATGAATATGTATATTTTATGTTTTTAATATGTATCAATTCCTCGAAGGTTCAGGGAACATCATAGAACAAGGGGTTGAGAGAAAGTAAATGCCAGAGGGTACAGAAATGGACAACCAAAAGTTATCTTCTGGACATGATATAGCCATTACACCCACTAACTCGCCAAATATATGCTTAACTGTACAAGACTTGCACGAGATCACATCCATCAACACTTCCTCACGGATAGGAGATGAACCCATGAGGCCCTATCCCTCTCTGAGGGACTATAGATAATGAACAGTTCTTGGGGGAAGGAGTATTGTTGTCTTGCGTGGTATAGCCACTGAACAATTGTCCCGCTCCAGTAAGTATTCTCTTACCTACACACACGCAAGCAAAACTAATTTAAGTGAGTGAGAAACCATACAAAGAAGACATAAAAGTGGAAGACTTGCTAAGAAGAAAGGTTTCAGCAGGAGAGAGGAGGGGATGAGAAAGGAGAATGGAGTGTGAAAATTACCAAAATTCATTACAAATGTGTGAAACTCAAACAAAATCATTTAAAAATAAATCTGCTGCTTTAATACACGGCTCATCATTAGCTGCTTTCAGTGGTAATAATTACCTACCTGGACCCAATAGGTATTAACCAGAACTTCTTATTATCACCAAACACCTGCTGGATATTCTTGATGAAGCCAAGATTGAACCCATTTTTCTCTGGTCCACTTGTAAATACTGGTGTGCAGAAGGCCTCTAAGACAGTCCAGGAGAGTTGTAAAAGAGGAAGAGAGAAGTAAATGAATGAATATTGCATCACTGTAATGAGTTTACAGCTCTCAAAAAACATGACCTGGATTGATGATATTTTTGCTGTTTTAGTGTAAGTCCACATTCTTAATTATTGCTAAATTACTTAGTAAAACTCAGTTTTGTCGTTTAATAAAGGGAATTTTTTATTGAAAATAAGGAATTTCTACTCTTATTTTTTAAAAAGCCAGTGCAAATACAGACTGACAAAAATTATACAGCATTCATGAGGGGCATGTCTTTGGACTGCTGGATTTAAGGAGTACAGGAACAGATTTAACAGCACTTTATTTGAATCAAAGTGGCAACCACAGCCAAATGGTCTCCATCTGTAGATCTGGGACCAAAGTAATGACACAAAAAGAGACGGTAATGGCATTGATTTAGTTTTGAAACATTTCAGAAATGAAGATGTTCACAATGAAACCTGCAATGTAAAAAACCTGGTTTTACTCTAGACAAAGTGTCAATAGGTGAACTGTAATCACCTCAAAGACTATGAGGAATTGGTCCACATTAGTGCACATTATTTTTAGACACACATTTATCCCATTAAGCAAACACTTTCACTGTTGGGCTCTGGCTGCATCTCACCACTTCCCATTTGTCCTTTGTTTTCAGACCCTGTTATCATGAAGCTTTTAGTACTTTTCTACTTTTGTAGCTGTCTCTCAACCAAATGTGCTAATTTACCATCCTAAGTACTAAGTGCTATACATATATTTGATTTAGAAAAATGGGTGCAAAGGCTTCCCTAGCAAATGAATTCTCAAAGTGCGGTGGCTTTTTCACTAAATTCCCTTAAAATCTAATCCATCCTAGTTAAACATTTAACACTTGAACACTTTCATCTTATTCCATGTGTACTGACTGGTAGACCATGTAAATATTCACCATATATGAAGTAGTTACTGCACTAGAATCCTTTATTTCTATAAATAATAACAAGCCCAGAGTACCAATAAGCAGCACCCCCCCCCCATTTAGTATACTGATTTTCTGCAGATTTAACATGCATATCTCATTTGCACGGTCCCTTCATGTACCTCTTTAACTTTAAATATCACTTTGATTCCTTACAAAAATAATTTTATATTTATTTGACGTGTGTGTTTATGAGCATGAACCTGTGTGTGCACGGCACGCTGTGAGTGTCGAGGACAGAGGACAGTTTGTGGGAGTCAGTTCTTTCTTTCTACCTACTGTGTGGGTTCTGGAATTTGAACTCAGGTTGACCCTTACCTGGTGAGAAATCCTGATGGCCTGGACTCTTGCATTCATTCTCATTATTCATTTGGATTCTTTCTAAGGACTTGATTTTGGGATGTGCATCATTAATTAGATTGTCTGTCTTTACTTAGTACCATTTCTTCCTTCTGCAATTTAATTTTTTTGTGTGAATACTTTTGAGAAGTCAGACGTGTGAACTTGAGGATGTAGTTCCCAAAATGTATTTCCAGATGTCTCAGTTTGGAGGCAAAGGGGTGTCACTAAAGCTAGAATACTTACTAGGCTTTTACTCCTTAGGGAACAATCCAAAGGGCACAGTGATACACATTAATATGCATTTTCATAATATTAATATTCAGTCTCACCTAAGGTAGTTTTGTTTCTGCTGACAAGCCAACAATGGTAACCAAAGAGAATCACAAGGCTGACAAAAAACATGCAGGCCACAAAGAGGAGAAAGAGGACATGGAACTTAGAGCGAACACTGGGTAATTCTCCCTAGAAAAGAAACAATAAACAAAGAAAACAAAACATTAAAGTGGGAATGCCTGGCTGTTTTTCTATATACATTAGTAGTTTTCACATGTAAAAATCCAGCTCCAATTTTAAAAACAGATTTTGTCAACTTAAATTTTTACTGCACATATTTATGTATTTTGTATGTGTGCATGTATGTGTGTGTACATGCATGCCAAAGTGTGCATGTATGGAAGTCAGAAGACAAGTAGCGGGAGTCAGTTCTGGCCCTCTACTTTGTGAGCTCTAGGGATTGAACTCAGGTCATCAGACTTGGTGGCAATTGCTTTAGCAATTGCCGAGCTACTTGCATGTCCTGATTATTAATTAATTACTCAAAATTGTTGATCATCATACCTTATTATAGATATGACTTTAGCTCACAAAGCTTGAAATGGATTCTTGTTTAAGTGAAAAAATATGATGCACCAATTAGAAAAGTTAATGTGAAGAAGGTATGTTGCAGTTATGATTGGTGTACAGCGCCTATTTCATCAGGCTTGAGAATTATGAATAACTGTCTAGGGAATAATAAGGTCACCACTTTTCATCCTATTGTCTGGGCATAATAGAATTCCTTTATTTTATAAATAAAGACTTATATGAGAAAGACTTATTTTTAAATTTTTGCTCTATTATGTGCGTTTTGCCTTCATGCATGTCTGTACTTGTCTGATGTCCATAGAAACCACAAGAGGGCATCAGATCTCCTGGAACTGGAACTGTAGATAGCTGTGAGCTGCCCAGTAGAAGCTGAGAACTGAACCTGGGTCCTCTGCAAGGGGCAGTCAGTGCTCTTAAATACTGAGCCATCTCTTCAGCCTCTATTCTTTGGCTATATGCTTGTTGAAATGCTAGAGTAGTGACTATAAGAAGTTAAAACACAGAAATTTAAAATGTCCTACCTGAAGTCATGACCCAATTTAAAGCTGCTGAAAATTTTATGTTGTTGCTTTTTTTTTTTTTTTTTTTTAAATTAACAGCTGGACTAAAATGTACTGGTAAAATGCATCCTGTGGAGCAGCTGTTTGGACAGTAAAGAAACCAAGCATGATTTTAAAGGTAATTGTAAACGTAGGAAGCTAAAGATTGATAGGGTTAACTGGGATATCTAGTTTTCCAAGTGGCACTAGCTTTTGTTTGATATACAGTTCTAGAGCATAATGTTCTAAAGTTCTATAGCATGCTTATCTTTTAACATTTATCCTCAGAAATGAACTTCAGAAAGCATTTTGAATTTTAGAATGAACAGCTGCAGGAATGACTCTGGCTTATTCCTTCCTTTCCATTAATGGCCATAGTTTTGGTATGATGAGTTGGCTTGAGATCTTTCCAGATGCCCTCCAGTGATAACGTTAAACGGATCCTTATGTGAAGTGGGACCTAACTTTTGCACTCTTCTATTCTACTCCAGTTACAGAAGGTTAGTTCTTGGCAGCACTTGTTAAGTTCAAAGAGTATAGATTTCTTTCTTTCCTCAGAGATTTCTTTTTACACAAAGAAATGTTGAACCTCTTCCAGGTCGCATATGTTTGCAGTATGAAGATAAGGGGAAGTGTGCACATTAAGGATCTCAGGTGAGGGAAGGTCTGGGTGAAACCTGTGCAGGACAGAACTGTTCAGGAAACAGCCGCTTTAAGGACTTAACTTTTAAGAACTTTTATCTGAAACCTTTCCTCTTGAGATGTTCCGTCTACAAAATCTTGACCTAAGCACCCAAATTGGGTTGTCTTGTTTCATGTTTGTTTTGATTCATGGTTATTGCTTTTCTTTTGTTTTTTGTTTGTTTTTGTTGTTCTTGGATAAATTTCTTGACTTCACTGAGATTTGATCTCATGAGTTCTCCTTTTTGTAAAAGTACTTACAGTTCACATTGATTTTGCTTTTTTTACACTAGGGCAATAGGAAATTGCTGAGCAAGTGAGGCTGTTTTTTGAATTTTAATTAATTAATTAATTAATTAATTAATTAATTAATACAATTTATTCTCTTTATATCCTGGCTTTAGCCACTCTCGTCACCTCCCAGTCCCATCCACCCATCTTCTTCTCCCCCTATGGCCCTCCCCTAGTACACTGATAGAGGAGAACCTCATCCCCTTCTGACTTTAGCGTATCAGGTCTCATCAGGACTGGTTGCATTGTCTTCCTCTGTGGCCTGGCACTCCAGGGGGAGGTGATCAAAAAGCCAGCCACTGAGTTCATGTCAGAGACAGCCCCTTATCCCCTTACTAGGGTACTCACTTGATAACTGAGCAGCATAGGGACTTCATATGAGCAGGGGGACTAGGTCCTTTCCATGCATGGTCCTTGGTTGGAGTATCAGTCTCTGCAGCTCCCCACCCCCAGGCTCAGGTTCTTTGGCTCTGTTAGACTCCTTGTGCTGCCTCTGGCCCCGCCAGGTCTTTCACCTCCCCCTTCTTCCATATGGTTCCCTGCAGTCTTCCCAAAGTTTGGCTATGAGTTGCAGCATCTGCTTCGATAAGTCTTTCAGAGGCCACCTGTGGAAGGCTCCTGCCCTGTTACTTGTCTTCTCCTACTTCTGATGTCTATCCTGTTTGTTCTTCTGAATGAGATTTCAGCCTCTTCCCTAGAGTCTTCCTTGTTGTTTAGCTTCTTTAGGACTATAGATTTTAGTATGTTTATCCTATATTATATGGCTAAATCCACTTATAGGTGAGTATATACCATATGTGTCTTTCTGCTTCTGGGTTCTCACTCAGGATGATTTTTTCTAGTTCCATTAATTTGCCTGAAAATTTTATGATTTCCTTGTTTTTAATTGCTGAGTAGTATTCCATTGTGTAAATGTACCACACTTTCTGTATCCATTCTTCAGTTGAGGGAAGGATTTTCATCAATCCTACATCTGACAGTGTTCATATCCAGCATATATAGAGAATTCAAGAAGCTAAACACCCAACAAATAAAGTAATCTAATTAAAAAAATAAGGTACAGAGCTAAACAGAGGATTCTCAATAGATGAATACTGAATGGTAGAGAAACACTTAAAGAAATGCTCAATGTCCTTAGTCATCCAGAAAAATGCAAATCAAAATGACCCTGAGAATCCATCTCACACCCATCAGAATGGGTAAGATGAAAAACTCAAGGAATGACACATGCTGGAGAGGATGTGGAGAAAGGGGAACCCTCCTCCATTGCTGTGAGGATGTAATCTTGTACAACTGCTTAGGAAATCCATTTGGCACTTTCTCAGACAATTAGGAATAGTGCTACCTCAGGATCCAGCTATATCACTACTGGGCATATGAAAGATGCTCAACCATACAACAAGGACATTTGCTCAACCATGTTCATAGCAGCTTTATTCATAATTGCTAGAATCTGGAAGTGTTGCTGTTTTGAAAGTCTGCTCACATCTCATGTAGCTGTGCTTTTACCTTTTCCCCCATCACTCTTGTGGAACTTACTGTATAGAATACCTGCTGTGTGGTATTTTTATAGTGTTCAAAATATCAACTGTTCTTGCACAAACAGTCTCATGTTCAAAACTGCGCTTTCAGGAGATAACCAAGCTAAATCACTCACAGGCATGATCACCAGAGACAGTTCAGAGGAATATTTGTAAAATAATAGTTACTATTGTAAAAAGGTTCATAGACCAGCGTGGGAGGTGTGAATTATTAATTTTGAAGGAGACAACAATTAATCTGACTGTTAAGAGTAGAATTTGGAGGGCTGCTGGAGAAATGGCTCAGTGGTTTAGAGAGTAGAATTTGTTCAACTTAATATGAAAGGAAAGAAATGATGTTATGGTTATGGTTATTCTAAAAGACATAAAGCCTCTCTATAGCAGAACCATAATAGGCATAGTACATGTAAAATCACAGAGCTTATGGGCATAGTTATGTTCAAATTCCCCCTCTGAAATTTGACAAGTCACTTAAGTGTTGAGAGCCTTAGCTTTGTCTTATTTTATTTTACTTTTTTGCTTTATAGAGACAGTGTTTCTCTGTGTAGTCTTGCCTGTCCTGGAACTCGCTTTGTTGACCAGACTGGCATCAAACTTACAGAGGTCGGCCTGCCTCTGCCTCCCATAGTGCTGGGATCACAGATGTGCACCAAAAGGCCCGGCAACTTTGTCATATATAAATGTGACAAATAGTTTTTTCTTTGGTTACTTCAAAGGGTTGGGGTAAGGATCATATACAATTATAGATATAAAAGTACTTCAAGAAGCATAAAGTACCATACAGTAGAAGTTGTTGTTCTTGGGAGCATAGCTTGTCTCTTTGATATGGCTTTAAAAATATAAGGCAATGTTTACTTTTTTTTTATTTTAAAAAAGGCTCAATTTGAACTCAGAAAGCCATCCATCCCTAAGCCATGCTAATGTGGTCCTAAGGCCAGAGCAATTGCAAAGATCAATTTCCCTAAATTGTCAAATACCACTTTCCATGTCAGGACAAGCTACCGAAGGCCTCATGCCATCTCAGATGACAGGCATAAACGACACTATTATGGAGGGAAAACAATGAAGGAGTAGGAAAAGAACAAGGCCATGCTCACCATGGATTTGATTACACTTCTGGCACATTTCCCTTAATGAATTCATAATCAGTTATCATAGGTTAAGAGTGAAGAAAAACATACATACAGTACCTGGCTTGAATTTCTGTGTTTTATTACTGACTGGCTAGGGAAGCTAAAGGCAAAATGTGTGAAATACCATGTTGTTTACTTTGTGATAAAGGTATAGCCATGACTAAATGGTAGTCCACTGTGTTAAGGGCCAAGAAAGGTATTTAGCTTGATCAACGCTCATACTTCCCTACTGATTGCATGCAGCAGATTCTCTTCATTTTTATATTAGTAGCTCAGCATGTGGTAGGAATGCCAAATAGGCCATAGAAACCCAAGCAATGGGGAAAGATCTTGTGCTGTGAAAAGGGGGGCAAAGAAGAGCTTTCAAGATGTGTAGCTTCATGAAATGTTTCCTATTTGAAGAAACTACATGAGAAAAACCTCATCATTTTTGTTTAAATTGGGGATCTTGATATCTACTATATAGCTCCTGATTCTTACAGCTATAAAATATCTGAACTGATTAAGCAAGTTGAATAGAAAGTGCAATTTTCTGCACTACTAGGAATAAAAGTACTGATTCATAATTTAAATATTCTTAGGTATTTAGCCTCTCAGTGTCTTGTCTTTTTCTTTTCTCCATTTCCTTATAGTTTATATTCTGATCATGTGATTTATGTTCTTATCCTGCTGGTTTATTGTTCCAGCTAAGATGTGATATCCCTGTTACATACACACCTGCAAATTTTCTAAAGTAATAACCAGAAGCTCTGCTCAGATTTGTGTTTTCTATTCATATCAGTTTGGATATCTCTCATTGTAGACACCGTAATAATTGTACTTTAGGGTAGGAAAGGGCTTTCTTTAAGAGTCTAACTGGCTGATGTTGACACATGACATATTTAATTATATTTTACTATGTACATTTGCAAATGGAAAATCTACCTTAACTTATTTTTAAATAGATGGGATCTGACTGATATCTCCAAGTAGGAGAGAGATATAAGTTGTTGTTTCTTCTTTTTTTAGATTTCATGATAATTGTTAAAATCAATATCTTTTTCTTTGAATCTTAGTGATGAAACAGTAAAGCAAGTAACAGAGCAAGTATGCACTCCTTTTCTCTCAATTCCCAACCCAGTGTTTGTCAGTTCAAAAGAGAAGCTGGGTGTGGTGGTCATAGGCAGGCAGATTTCTGAATGTGAGACCAGCTAGGTCTACAAAGAAATTCTAGAACATCCAGGGTTACAGAAAAGGCCTGTCTCAGAAAACAAAAATCAAAAGCCAAAAAACCTCCATAAAGTTCAAAAGAGATTCCCTCTCTAACATGCCTCTGTGCCTATGTACAGTTCAGCATATCTTTCTTACCAACAGAAACTTTGCAACTCCTCTTTGAACCTGGGATTTTATAACAAATTCCTGTTAACTTTTTTTAAAGCAACTAGTGATTTGGCTGGGTGGTGGTGGCACACACCTTTAATCCCAACACTCCTGGAGGCAGAATCTCTGTGACTTCAAGGCCAGCCTGGTCAACAGAGTGAGTTCCAAGACAGCTAAGGCTACTCATAGAAACCCTGTCTTAAAAAAACAAAACAAAACAAAACAAAACAAAACAAAAAGAAAGAAACTAGTGATTTGGAATTAGTTTCAACATTTTTTGTCAAATACACAACTGGTAAAGAAGATCTTCAAAACTCAACCACAGACTTATATTTTAAAGAACTGTCAGCAGGGAGTTTACTTTCCAACACAGTTAACTGTAGTCTTTACTCAACAGTTTCTTAAACCTCAGAATATTCAACATGGCAAATCATTTTTACTGCCTTGCCTTCTGGTGACTCCATTATTTCAAAATGCAACAGGATAGAGGGTGAGAAGTGCCACAGTTAGAGAGACCACACATTTACTTTGCGGTGGGGGGGAGGGGACCCATCAGGGTTTTTAAAAACTTACTCTCCAGTATTTGATGAAATAGCTGAAGACGGTCGTAGCAATGTACAGGCAGTAGAGAACAGAATAAGCTAAGAACTGAAGGAAGAATTTGTAGTTGGAAAATCCAATGCAGTTATTAACCCTAAAAGAGAAAAGAAAACTAATTTGAAATCAAGACGTATCTATTGAGAACATGATGATACTTAAGTGGATGAACCAAAGGAAGCACATGAGTCCTGTTGCTTCATTATGTCTTGTGTAGAAACCCAACAGAGATTGAAGCTCCTTAATAGAAACAGACAGGAAGAACAAGTTCATACCTCAGTTATTTCTCCTTTTATTTATCAGCACGGAGTCACCTGAACTACCTATTAACTTTAGAATGGCTCTTGAAACACCCAAGCAAACCTGGATTTTTGTTGCTAAAACATGTTAAAGTCTTAGTATTTACACGTTGACATGCTCTCTTGGCAATTAGGTGATTCCAGTTTGTTTCTTTAGGTTAGATACACAACTGTTATAGAAAATCGCTGAACTTAAGTATCTGTAACATTTCAAAATCATGTCAGCTAGAAAGATAAATGCGTTGCATAATGTTGAAGAAGAGAAATAATGTGCTCTATTTCATTACTCTTCGCAATTGCTAAAGTTAATGCACAGAAGACACTTAGCTTTTGACCACTAGAATTCACTATCATACCTTTACTAGTATTTTAATCTTTTTTAAAAAATGTTATTCCTCCCCTTCCCCAAGAAGGACAAAACACAGTGAATTAGAGCAGCAAAAGTAGGCATGTTTCAATTCGGTTTAGGAATGTGAGTATACTGAACAACTTCGACTATTTTAGAGGATAGACATGAATCAAAAGGACATACCATGGGCAGTGATGGTCCATTTTTAAAACACACCTGTAAATGGGACAAAATACAGTGTGATAAATGTGGCTATGTCAATAAAGAGTTCAAAATTGAACTCAAGGTTTTAACAATATTTTCACATAGTTCGAAAACTATCTACAAACTTCCACTATGGTAACTCCAAAATTACTGCCTCCTCAAATACTCACAAGATGATCAAGTCACAGGAACATCCTGGGATTATGCTTGCAGCAAATGACAACTCTAAAAGTGCGACCTTGAAAGAGGTAGGGAACTCCAGACTACTGACACAGGTGGAAAAGTTTAAGATGCCACCTTCCATTTTTGTTTTGTTTACTTGGTTTAATAATGGTAAAAGGGAACTATATGCCTGTGTTTAGAGCAAACGTAAGAAATAGTGGAATAGGCACTCCAGAACAAAAGCCTAGACTGACAGTGGCGGTGCATGCCTGGAATCCCGGAACGGAGAGGTGGTGGTGGGCAGAGGCAGGCTGGTCTCTGAGTTCGAGGCCAGCCTGGTCTACAACAAAGCAAGTCAGGACAACCACAATACATAGAGAAACTCTGTCTCAAACAAACAAACAAAGAAAAGAACAAAGGCATAAAGATTGTACATACTAACACAAAAAAATGGGGCATTACAAAATTGGAACAATTTGAGAGGCAAAGTAAACTGTTGGTTAATAACACAAAACAGAAAATAAATATCTACAAGGTCACGTCCCACCAGCAATGGAGAAAGGTTCCCCTTTCTCTACAACCTCTCCAGCATGCATCATGCCTTGAGTTTTTCATCTTGGCCATTCTGATGGGTGTGAGATGGAGTCTCAGCGTCATTTTGATTTACATTTCCTGGGTGACAAAGGACACTGAGAATTTATTTAAGTGTTTCTCTGCCATTCCATATTCCTCTGTTGAGATTTTTCTGTTTAGCTCTGTAAGCCATTTTTTAATTGGATTACTTGCTTTGTTGGTGTTGGTCTTCAGTTCTTTATATGTTCTGAATATTAGCCCTCTGTCAGATCAATCTGGCATTTTCTAGAAAATTAGGAATAGTGCTACCTCAAGATCCAGCTATTGCACTCCTAGGCATATATCCAAAATATGCTCAAGTGCACAACAAGGACATTTGCTCAACCATGTTCATAGCAGCTTTATTCGTAATAGCCAGAATCTGGAAACAACCCAGATGTCCCACAATGGAGGAATGGATACAGAAACTGTGGTACATTTACACAATGGAATACTACTCAGCAATTAAAAACAATGAAATCATAAAATTTGCAGACAAATGGTGGGAACTAGAAAAAATCATCTGGAGTGAGGTAACCCAGAAGCAGAAAGACACACATGGTATATACTTACTTATAAGTGGATGTAAGCTATATAATATAGGATAAAAATACTGAAATCTATAGTCCTAAACAAGTTAAACAACAAGGAAAAGCTTAGGGAAGATGCTTATTTCTCATTCAGAAGGTCAAACAGGATAGACATTGGAAGTAGGAGAAGACAAGGAACAGGACAGTAGGCTTCCACAGAGGACCTCTGAAAGTCTCTACCCACCATGGTATCAAGGGAGATACTGAGACCCATAGCCAAATTTTGGGCAGAGTGCCAGAAACTTTATAGAAGAAGAGGAAGATAGAACGACCTGGAGGGGACAGGAACTTCACAAGGAGAACAACAGAGTCAAAACAGCTGGGTCCAGGGAGCCCCGCAGAGACTGTTATTCCAACCAGGGACCTTGTATGGGGAGGACCTAAACCCCCTGTTCAAAGGAAACCCATAGACTGCTCAGTTTCCAAATGGGTTCCCTAGTAAGGGGATAACAGGCTGGCTCTGACATGAACTCAGTGGCTGGCTCTTTGATCACCGCCCCCTGGAGTGTGCAGCCTTGCCAGGCCCCAGAGGAAGATCATGCACCCAGCCTTGATGAGACCTGATAGGCTAGGGTCAGATAGAAGTTTGGAGGTTCTCCCCTATGAAGGGACTAGGGAAAGGGCAGAGAGGGAGAAGAAAGAGGGAGGGAGGAATTGAGAGGAGACAAGGGAGGGTGCTGCAACATGAATACAAAGTGAATAAATTGTAATCAGTAAGTAAGTAAATAAAATTTAAAAAATGAAAATAAATATGTATTAGTATTGATACAAATAACTGAATAAACCAATGAGTCAGAAGAGACACATCTTCTGCAGACATATTCTAAATAGTTTGTACAGATATTCACCTTCAAGGAGAGGAATCCTATTACTTTCATGTGGAGTATGTATAGTGACTTCCATTTAAATAGTATAGATAAGAAATGAAAGTGGGACGGAATAATTTTCCTGCAAACACCTGGCTAACACCATTGAGAGAGATGTTCAATATTAACACTGTAGGCAAAAGTCACATTTGGATGTACCCTTGATACCATGTAATGAAAATCGTACTTTAGCTCCATGGTCTTCCTCCACAAATCACATCACTGCATTGTAATGTTCAGGACAAAAGCACTAACACATTTTAACTAAATAAAGAAAAATTTATAAAGCGTCTGATTCTTAATGCCCCAAACTATCAAGGATATCAAAACCAAGGTAAAGGCTGAGAAATTGTCTTGAGTGAAAGGACCTACAGCGACATGACTACTTCACGTAATGTGGTATTTCGGATGAAATCCTGAAACAGAAAAATGTTATTAGGAAGAAAATGAGGATAGCTAAGAGGTGTATCCCAGTTAAAAATGGTGTGTAAATCATCCAACAGATATACTTAACACAGACGCACACGCATACACAAAATTACATCTGAACAAGGACATTTGTATAGGATTGGTTTGAATAGCAAAAGCTTTAAATTACATAAAGGTTCACTAATAGAACATGTAATTTTGATAATTAAGCTATATTACAATAGAATATAAAGAGAAACAAGGTCTCAATATTGATTTATTAATTTAAAAATGTATCACACTAATGGAATCTACTAATCCATAAATTCTCTTCACAATAAATCCATGAATTTGAAATCATTTAATATGAAAAGTTTCTTTTGAAAATGCAGTATTACTTTTCTATCTTTAGACTAGAATGATTATCACCCCGGTGAGAGTGTTTGGCATGTGGTCCTTATGCCTCAAAAGAAATGCTCTTATCTAGGCATGGCTACACGTTAGGATCAGTCATTTTGTTGCCATCAGTGGCCAGCCTCAGCCCAGAAAAAGTATAGCTGTCACTTACATGGCACAGACAGAACAGTGATGGCAGCGGTCTGGCTTGATTAGATGGCACCGGTCACAGAACCGTACAGCTATAAGAAATAGAAGGTGGTTAGTATGAGTTCAGGGTCAATACAGGACAATACACTTTACTAGTTTGTGGATATATTCTTTTTATACACTAACTAAAGTTGGTCAAACGTATTTCAAGGTGCTAAGCAAAAAGTAATAACAGTAGATTGTGGTAATTTTTTGTGTCGGAACAGTCTTAGAAGTAGCTTCAAGAGGATGAAAGAAGGGAGAAAGTTTCATATTTGGGTAACTGACCACAAAAGTTTGTATTATAAACTAAACACTATCAACTGTTTCAGCGATTTGGGAACTCATTTAGCCTGTTTATTCCAATTTTCCTCTCTGAAAAATAAGAATTCACTTCTTATTTCAAGAGGTTAGATTGTATAAGATAAATACAGTTCCTACAATACAATAAAGAATGTGATTCTCAGGATAACAATTTGAAGAAGAGAAGAGAGATTCTATCTAGATGTTCTATCTAGAACATTTTGTTTAATTTCTCATCTTACAGATAAAGAAATAGAAGACTTTGCCATATCAAGTGCCACAATAAAGGCCATGACACAGCAAATGAATAGCAGGGCTCTAACCTACATAGTTGTTTTTCTGGATATATATATATATATGTCCCCAAACACACACACACACACACACACACACACATCCTCTTCTTTCTTCCTTCTTTTCCCAATTAAATGCCTTTATTGTTCCTTTCTTTTAATTTTTCTACATTTGCTGATAGAGTATTGCTGTATATAATTGTATAACGTTATTATAGTCTAAAACTTAAACATGCAGATAATTTGAGAAACATAACAATTTTATCTAAAATGTGCATTGGGCACACATATGAACAATTTAACACAATAGGCTGCAAATTCAGCAGAGTCTTGCTTTCATTTCTACTGAGTGTGTGTGTGTGTGTGTGTGTGTGTGTGTGTGTGTGTGTGTGTGTGAAGGGGGGTGGGGGAAGCATATCGTTTTTTCAATATATGTCTGCAATAGTTCCATAATTGATCATCAGCCCTTCATTGTTGCTTCCATACAGCACTTAATAGTCAGAGTTGCTAGATGGTTTCCTCAAAAGTAAATCAAATCATATTATTATCCACTTGACACTCAGTTAATTTTGAACATGTTAAGAATAAAATCCAAATTCTGTATCATAGCCTGTGGCTTCTGCCTAACTGTTCAAACATCCTTTGTACCACTCTCCATTCTCTATGTTCCAGTGACATTGGCTACCCCCCCTGCCCTTGTAAAATTGCAACTTTTCACCTGTCTCATGGCCTGTACAGTTCTTTATTTCTTTAGTGATCACTCTGTGCTCTTTGAATGGCTTGATGGCTAATTTTATGTGTCAACTTCAATGTTGTGCTGGTTAGTTTCTGTCAGCTTGGTAGAAACTGTAATCAAGTGGGAAGCGGGAACCTGAATTGAGGAATAGAGAAGGGCCTGTGGGCATGCCTGTGGAGTATTTTCTTGATTGGTGATGGACTGTGGTGGAACAGATATCTGTAGATGGTGTCATCCTTGGGCAGACAGCTCTGTGTTAAAAGCAAAGCTAGCTGGGGAAGCCATGAAGAGCGATCCAGTAATTAGTGTTCCTCCAAGGTCTCTGTTTCAGTTTCTGCCTAACTTCCCTTGGTGATGGAATGTTATTTTGAGTGTAAGATGAACTCAACCCCTTCTTCTCCAAGTTGCTTTTGTTCAGTATTTTGTCCTAGCAACAGAGAAGAAAACGAAGACAAGTGGGTATTCATATATTTGTGTTCCTGCCTTGACTCCCTAAGTGATGGAATGTTACTTAAAAATGTAATATAAATAGACCCTTTCCCATCCAAGTAGAATTTGGTGAATGTTTTCTCACACAAACAGAGAAATGAACATTTGGGTTCCCACATATTTGGTTAGGTTTTATATCTGTGTGCTGTGAGTGTGTTTCCAAAGTGAAGTGGCCTGTGAAGGGGTAGACTCCAAAAAGCAGATAACTTTCTGCAGTGTTGGTGAGCTACATCTAATCTTACGAAAGCCTGACCAGAACAAAAAGGGAGAGAAAGTGGGAATCTGCTCTCTGTCTGACTACATGAACGGGGACACTTGTCTCTAGGGCCACTAGGAGACTGTAACTTAAGCATTTTAAACTCATTTTTTTTCCCCCTCAGGTCTTCAGACATGAATTGAAAATTGCACCATCAGTCCTCTGGTTTTCAAGGGTTTGGATTTGGCTTAGAATGTACACACTTGGTTTTCCTCAAGCTTAGGACTTTTAGCTCAGGCTGAAGCTATACCACCACCTTTTCTTTCTTTCTTTTTTTTTTAATTTTATTTTTTTCTTATCAGTTACATTTTATTAACTCTGTATCCCAGCCTTGTCCCAATCCCTCATTCCCTCCCAGTCCCTCCCTCCCTCCCTCATCTCCACCGTGCCCCTTGCCAAGTCTACTGATAGGGGGGACCTCCTCCCCATTCATCTGATCCTGTTTTATCAGGTATCTTCAGGACTGGCTGCAAAGCTCTCCTCTGTGGCCTAACAGGACTGCTCCTCCCTTGGGGGGTGGGGAGGCCAAAGAGCCAGTCATTGAGTTCCTGTTAGAAATAGTCCTTGTTCCCCTCACTATGGGAAACCAATTGGTTACTGAGCTACCACAGGCTACATCTGAGCAGAGGTTCTAGGTTACATTCATACATGGTCCTTGGTTGCATGTCAGTCTCAGAAAAGACCCTGGGCCCAGATATATTTGGTCCTTGTGGAGCTCCTATTCTTTCCTCATCAGACTAACTCCCTTTCTTTCTTATGATTCCCTGTACTCTGCCAAAGGTTTGGTCATGAGTCTTTGCTTTGAAAACACTGCTAGTTAGAGTCTTTCAAATGCGCTCAGTAGACTCCTGTCAATGTTCAATGCGCATCTCATCTGTCTTTCAAAATGAGGATTGATAATTTTACCCCATGTCCACTCTCTTGATTATCTTTTTTAGGTGTACAGATTTCATTATGTTTATCATATCTTATAGGTCTATATAAGTGAGTATATACCGTGTTTGTCTTTCTCCTGGGATATTTCACTCAGGATGATCTTTTCTAGATCCCACCATTTGCCTGCAAATTCCATGATTTCCTTCTTTTTGATTGCTGAGTAGTATTCCATTGTGTAAAAATACCACAATTTCTGTACCCATTCCTCCGTTGATGGACATCTGGGTTGTTTCCAGGTTCTGCCTATTACAAATAAAGCTGCTATAAACATGGTTGAGCAAATATCCCTTTTGTGTACTTGAGCAAACTTTGGGTATATACCTAGCAGTGGTATAGCTGGGTCTTGAGGAAGCACTATTCCTAATTGTCTTAGAAAGCGCCAGATAGATTTCCAGAGTGGATGTACCAGTTTAGATTCCCACCAGCAGTGGAGGAGGGTTCCCCTTTCTCCACAACCTCTCCAGCATGTGTTGTCCCTTGAGTTTTTCATTTTGGCCATTCTGATGGGTGTGAGGTGATATCTCAGGGTCGTTTTGATTTGCATTTCCCTGATGGCTAATGAGGATGAGCATTTCTTTAAGTATTTCTCTGCCATTCGATATTCCTCTGTCGAGAAATCTCTGTTTAGCTCTGTTCCCCATTTTTTAATTGGATCACTTGGTTTGCTGCTTTTCAGCTTCTTTAGTTCTTTGTATATACTCGATATTAGTCCTCTGTCAGATAAAGGGTTAGTGAAGATTCTTTCCCAATCTGTAGGCAGGCGTTTTGTTTTGATGACAGTGTCCTTTGCTTTACAGAAGCTTTTCAGTTTCATGAGGTCCCATTTATTGATTGTTGCTCTTAGAGCCTGTGCTGTTGGTGTTCTGTTCAGGAAGTTGTCTCCTGTGCCAATGAGTTCTAGGCTGTTCCCCACTTTTTCTTCTAACAGATTTAGAGTATCTGGTTTTATGTTGAGGTCTTTGATCCACTTGGACTTTAGTTTTGTGCAGGGTGATAAATATAGATCTATTTTCATTTTTCTGCATGTGGATATCCAGTTGGACCAGCACCATTTGTTGAAGATGCTGTCTTTTTTCCATTGAATGGTTTTGGCTTCTTTGTCAAAAATGGAGTATTCATAGGTGTGTACCACCACCTTTTCAAGGACTGCAGAATTCATGTGTGGATAGTGGGACTTCAGCCTTTGTAGTTTCTGGAAATAAATCCTCATGCTAAATTATCTGTCTGTCTGCCTTTCTGTCTACCATATAATCATCTTTCTAGCCAATATAATCTACTAGTTCTCTTTCTTCCAATTAATGTAAGTAATATAGATTTTGGTGCTGAGAGAAAAGCACCAAAGTAATATAGATTTTGGTGCTAAAGGAAAAAAATTTAAAATGATTTTCTGAAATTGTCTCTAGTTTGACTTTCTGAAAGTGAGTTGCTTATGTTACTCAACTTAAGTTTTAAAAAAATTGATTAAATTAAACTACATTAATTACTACATTTCAGTATTAAGGAGTGTACTGGCAATCCCTGACATTTTCTGCCAGGGCAAATGTTTAAAGTATCTTCAATCAATGCTATCAATATGACAAGAAGCAAGCAGATAGGTGGCTGTGTATTCATTTTGAACATTTTAAGAAAACTAATATAATGAGATTGGCTTGTTGTTCCTAACAACAGTGGAAAAGCAATGAAAGAAGAGAATGAGAGATGGCATTCAAATTTCCTGCTCAAGTTACTACATAAATGACCTGAATGCTTCTATGCTTCTCCTGAAGGAGATGCTTATCTCCTATAGTTACAGGACAAGGATTAGTGAAAATCAAGTACAGAATTTCATCTTGGGACTACCTAAATTGCAATGCAAGTTAAACTCCTGGTCTTGTAGGATGTTTACTGCTACACTGGGGGCACTGACTATGAAAGAAGAAAATTCTGTAAGAAGGCCTGGTGAAGCCAGGGATTTTGAGCTCCTAAGTCCTTTTGAATAGTCTTTGCCGGAAGAAGATGCCTCCCATATTGCCAGTGGAAGTAGCCTCTTTATTATTGCTG